TATATATATATATATATATATATATATATATATATATATATATATATATATATATATATATATATATATATATAGGGAGTAAATTTCAGTTGCTTTAATGTAATAGAAAAATAATACTATTATGATTTTGCTACTGTAATAAATTTAAGTTATTTAGCGTAACAAATATATAGTGTTGTGACGTACTACTAGTGAATAAAATTTAGAGACATTTCAGCAAAGTTAAGAGAAGAGCTAATTACCTGGTTTGAGGAGGCCAAAGATTACTATCATCCCCAGGATTACAACCATGTTTTATACTATCCCTCCATTCCAAAACCTTCTCATCTTTCTCACCTATTGCACTCCAAAACATGAGCACAGATTCATCAGGTCCAGCATTTTCCTTATAATACTTGATTTTTTCTTCAGCTGGTAACTCAAAGAACCTGTGACCAGCTTCCTTCAAATTCTCAACAACTTCAATTGGAATCCCATGATTGATTATTTGGAAGAAACCCCATTTGCTGGCTGCTTCTTGAATTGATTTTGCAACATTTACATCATCCCAATTGGACAGATCAATGGTTGGGATTGATTCTTGATTGTCAATTTGTAATTGGTTTTTGTCTAGTCTTTGCTCTTCTGGCTGAATGCATTGTTTTGGCACATTTTTAAGGCCTGTGTCTACTAGGCCTTTTATTCCATTTGCTTTCTTGATCACAAAATCAAATATGTCAACTCCTTCATATTTTGTACAACTCATTTTTGATATAATTTACTGTGGGAGAGAAGAGATGAGGTGCTACCTCTCTTTTATATTTTCATGGTTGAGGCTGAGGGAGGAGTTGATAAGTGGCGTGTTGGATAGCAATATTTTATTTTGGGTGTGTTTGGTACAAGAAACAAAATAGTTACGCAATCAAATATCAAAATTAATGTTTTTCTTTTATCAAAAGGGAAAAATGGGTTTTCCGCTTTTGTTTTTACTATTTAGAGAGTCAAAAGAGTTTTTGTTTACTGTTATTTTCTCATATGCCTTTTAAATATTTTTGAAACGTTAATTATCGTAATTTATTATATTTTTTATATAATTTAAATATATATATGAAAAATATGAAGATTCTATGTATGGGTTCATACTAAAAATTAGATAGTTTGATCCTTGTACTCCGAACCTCATCCATAAAATGGAATAGAAGAAGTAATATGTTTCAAAAATATTTTTTTTCATACCAAACAAACCCGTTATGTTTTACTCCTAGCGAAAAGGAAATATTTTATATTTAAAAAATTCAAACTTTAATTTTTCATTTTATGTTTAATTGCACGCTCTAATTATTATGTAAATATTAAGACCACGTGTTCTAATAAGGGTACTTTAGGTTGTGTCAGACGTGTTTTCTTTCTTTTTATAATTTCGTATTCAATTAAATTGTGAATATAAAATAAAGCGTTAGATTAGTTGTTTGGAAATTAGTGTGGTGGCTTCCTTTGTTTTTTTGTTGGTAGTTGATGTGGTGGCTTCTTACACGCATGAATTTGTGGTGATATAAGTGGCGGTTTGTTTGAATAGCCTCCACATTTTTCTTGTCAGTTGTCCTGAATGATGAAATCGATGTAACATTTAGGACACATTTGGCCATAGATTTTTTTTTTTCTTTTCAAAAACGTCTTTGTCCATTAAATTTTGTACAAGTTTTTAAATTTTTTTTGAAAATGAGTTTTTCAAAAATTAAAAAGTGATTTTGACTACTTTGTTAGAATTTTCAGAAATTTCTGTTTTCCCACTTACAAAAATTCAATATTTTTTAAAATACATATCTAAAATTAATTTCAAATTCCAAATATTATTTTTCAACCTAACTTCAAATATTACTCCCCCCGTTTCAAGATGAGGTAGTTTGACATAGCACGAAGTTTTAAGGAAAAAAAGAAGACTTTTGAAACTTGTGATCTTAAAAGCTTAAGGGATAAAAGATTTGTGGGTCCATGACATTTGTGTGATTATAAAAGCTTCTCATTAAGGGGTCCTTTGGTATGAGGTATAAGAAGGTATACTGCTGGTATAAAACATTAATACCACCTTAATACTTTGTTTGGTTAGCAAACTTGGTATAAGTTATCCCGGGATTAAAATTAGTACCGGGATAACTTATACCTTGTAGAGGGTGGGGTAATTAGTGCCAGGACAACTTATACCTTCTTCTTAGAAATTATGCAATTATCATTTTTAATACAACATACCAAACAGTGGATAAAAAATAATACCAGGATAAATACTCCCAACATAACTAATCCCAGCATAACATCCCGGCATAAGCCGTATTCAAATTAAATGACCCCTAAGGGTAAAATGGGTAAAATGAAGAGTTTAAAATTAAATTATTTCTAATTATAAAAATGCGTCATTCTTTTTGGAACGGACAAGTTAGAAAAAATGCATCACCTAAATTGAAACAGGAGGAGTACTTTTTTTCAAAAATTATAATTTTTATATTCAAATGCCTACTTATAAAAAAGAAAGGAAAAGAGTACGCTAACAGCAGTAGTAATAATTTGAAAAGACATGCATGCATTTCAATTTACATGTTGCCGTCTTTCTCTCTCTAGGCGCACGTTAGCCAAAGCGGGTGCCAACCATGGGAAGCAGGGAAAGACCAATCGCTCAGGCGGTGGTGTTGACTCAGATTTTGTGGGGAAGGCGGTGAAGCAAACAATGAAAGTAAGTGCACAAGCTACGACGATTAACGAAGGAAATCGGGCAATTTCGAGAGTGAATTCACTAGTACGGGACAGGCAACGACCTAGCACACCAAAGGGCAACGTGGAAATAACAAAAGCGAATTTAGGCAAATGGCTAAAGGTGATGCATGCTAACAGTAGTGGGTGCAGAATCTCCCGGGCTGATGAAGTTGAACAGAGTGAAATTGAGACGAGTAAGAACAATAAAATTAGTGAAACAGAGACTACGAGTGTTAAGGCCTCAATTTGGGAAAATTTTGATCACGAAGATAACTAATGCTGGTTTCAAATTGAAATATGTGGAACGAGATGTCGGAGGGGAAAACAAAATTGGGGGAATTGACTTAGATGATATTAATTCTGAGATTGAGTATTGGGGTAGTGCAGTTATATGTTATGTATTGGGGCTCGACACCATTTGCGGTGCTCAATGGATTTATTCAGAGATTGTGGGGGTAAACTAGGAATCAACAAAATAACGATGCTGAAGAATGGGATAATCCTGGCCCGATTTGACAATGTGGAACGGAGAAATGAGGTTATACAAGGAGGTATCTACCACTTCGATAATAAATCATTTATTGTCAAGGCGTGGGCACCTGAAATGGAATTTTCCAAAGATGAACATTCAGTCCCTACATGGATTCGACTCTCTGTGCTGGATTTTAAATATTGGAGTGCAAAAGGGCTGAGCAAAATTGGGACTTTAGTGGGCAAGCCTCTGATGGTCGACAGGAATACAGAGAGAAAAGTGGGGTTATACTTTGCTAGGTTACTGGTAGAGTTGGATATTGGTGAACAGTTGCCTGATGAGGTTTACTTCAGAAATGAAAAGGGTGTAGTATTCACTCAGAGTTATGTATGATTGAAAGCCTTCCATATGCAATGTGTGCACAAGTATGGTCATACAGAGGAGATATGCAGGAAGAACAAGGAGAATAAGAAGAAACAAGGGGGCATACTAGTAGGGGAAAATGGGCCAGAGAAGACTACACAAATCAAAAGGTGGTGCTTGATCCTATACCACCACAAAGGAAAGATGCAGAAACAGAGAGTAGACAGATGAAAACAAATGTTGGGATACAACAGAAGGAAATAGGGTGGGTCCAACCAACTAAGGTGGGGAAGTTTCTGAGATTTTAGAAGACACTTATGCAAGTTACAAATACCTTTCAAGCTTTAGAGAAAGGGGATACATCGAAGAGTATGAGCAAGCAGAGTTATGAACCAGGTAAAGGTGGAGGCAGTATACTACCTACATCTGGACATGGTTAACATGATAAGTTGGAATGTGAGAGGCCTTATGATCACGCCCAACTATGCTTTATGAAAGACAAAGCGGTCGTTGCAAATATAATCCGGTTTTTCAAGTCCGGAGTCGAATTCTCAGGGAACTAACCTATCTATTACAACTATTCGTGATGCTAATACAAGTTCAACCAATATCCAGATCCAAGATTTTTATCAATAAACAGAGAGATTTATTTAACTAATGTAAAAGGATATTAAAACTACAATATTCTAAATTAAAGATAATTCGATGGTAAAAAGATCTAGGGCATTGATTTCCCCAATTGCTAGCTTAATTCTTAACTCTTTTGCTATAATCTCGCCGTGATACTCTATGAGGATTATAAGCTATGGGTTACCGCAATTATCTCTCGATCAACTACGATAATTTACTAGAGCATTCTCTCGAACTACTCTAGCTGATAATTTATGCAGCTTGGATTTATCCCACTAAAGTTACGTTATTTCTAACCCCACTTTTAAATTCAAGAAATGAATCTCTTCAATTACCCAAAAGTGGTGTTGTTCAACAACGATCTAACCTACTATTCTTTCTCAAGCAACACTAGGCAATTAGACTCGATTAATCAAGGGCCCATTCAATTAATCACCATACAAGCATAGTTGAACAATCATATAATAAACCCGGCTCGATTACAACAAAATTGAGTCAAAGCTTCATCTAGCAATTGGTGCCATCAACCCTAGATTAAATGTTTAGCTACTTATAGTAAAGCAAGATAAAACCATAAAATCATTCATAATTCGCAAATAATGATAGCAAGAAGAAGATTTAAAAACTCTAATGGTGTCTTGATCTTCTCACACTTGTTCTTGCCTCCAATTTAGTCTAAAAACCAGCTTCACCTACTCCCCCAAACTTAAGCTTTTGCTTGTCCTCAAGCAAACAAAATAAGACCCACCCCTTAAGGGAAAATCCAATAAATTTTCAGCTTTCCTAAAACAACCTCAACTAGCATCAATTGGGACTAACAATTGCCCTCGACACACATGAGTCATTAATAATATTTAACCTTTGAAAAACCATGGATCAAGTGCGACACAAGAGCATCAAGAGTTGACTCAATACATCAAAGAACTCTTTTCAATTACTTTGGTCATTGTGGAACCCAAACTCACACATCCTCAACTCTTCCTAAGCAAACCTCACCTTTAGAATAGTGGCACACAAAACGAGGTTAATGGGAATTCACTCATCTCTCTCAAGGAAATGTCACAAGTCCGGCTCTAGGTACCATATGCTTGCCCCTTATGTAAGTATCCACTAATGTAATCTTCATTCAACTTAAGATCATATATGGCTTTTGTGGAGTCATTATGAAGGCTTTTGATTTAGGGTAGGACAAATTTTTGTTTAAGTGAGTTCCATCTTTCCTTAAGCACTTCTTTTGATTCATTTGGCACAATTCACTTGACTCTTTGAGTCATTTAACTTCTTTCTAAGAGGTTAGAGAGACACACTGTCACTCTTTCTTGCACATTTCAAACTTTTTCTCCTTTTTCAACTTTCCACATCTTTCATACTTTGCTTTTCTTTGGATCCCTTTTCATTCTTTTTCACATTGAACTTTCTCTTTGCCCTTTTTTTTTTTGCTTTTCTTTCTTTTTCATTGCCTTTCTTTTTTTTCACTTTTGTGCCTTTTTACCACTTTGTTGCAATCCTCGTCTCTCTCCCCAAACTTATACTTTTGCCATATGCTAAAGGAAAGATTTGGGTGCCAAGAGAGGGTATCTTTTAGAACGGGTATAGGCTTGTATCATGGTTCTTGAAAGAAAGAGGTCTAAGGCTCAAAAGGGTTGACTAGGGATCTTATCATTGGTAGGCTATGG